TTTTTAATTGTCATTAGAATTAATTAATTGTCATAAAGAAAGTAAACGTATTTATTTTATTAATTTAATACAGCTACCATATTTTCCAAATTACCAATTAAATAATTTAAAACCTTTTCCGGCCCAAATGAAACCCACTATCCCACCAAAGAAGTGACTTCAATTCAACGTTAATAAAAAATTTTAGTTGCAATAAATATAAATTTTATTTGAAAATTGGGCACTAAAGAGTTTTAGAGCGCGTACATTAGTATACAGGAATCCATGAATATATGCTGCTCCAGAAAACCGCCAAATGAGACTTATACACAACAGGCAATATCTAATAGCAATAATACCTGTGCATTAAAATGAATGCAAAATCATAAGCAGCAGCCGCATGTGTGCCAAGCCGGACGCAAACCCAAGCACGTTCGCTTCTTCAGAAGAAACCGCGTCGATGATTACATCCACATCAAAGCCAACAAAATCCAGGCCAAAATACGTTTTGAGCCCAAAAAACATTCGTTGGCGTATAATTTATTGTTCATAAATTAAATTTATGCATAAGGACCAAGAGCTGCGTTCAAACGTTCGAAAATACAAATATTCATTTTTGTTTGTAGTACCTACATGCACACATTTACACTTCAACAGCAAGCGAATATTCGCTGCCGAAGGAGGTATGTAATATGCGAAACATAAAGTTGTCCCAAGTCGACATCGTTATACCAAAGGGTGTTTTCAGCAGAGCAGAGGCAAGCAAAAGAAACCGACCAAAGATTGCTGGTGTTTGAATTCAAGGAAGTGTAAAATAAAACCAAATAAAAATAACTGTAGATGTACCACTTTCGCCAAAGAGCTCTGCGATGAAAACCGAATGCACGGCAATAAGGCGTTGAAAATGTCTGCATTGCAAGGTGGTAAAGACGCACGCACAGTTAGGCAATCAGGAGGGTTTAGGTGAAGAAAGCCAATAAGAAATTTTGTCTACAATTCGAGGAAGAAACAGAAAGAGAGTTTTCAATTGTGAGATGAAACGCTTCCTTCTAACACGAATAATGCAGCCCCGCAGACAGCAAATAGTATTCCAGTAGATCTTCTTAGGGTTCCTCAAGAATTATGCCGACAGATTCAGACGCTTTGAAGTGATTGAAAGCGAGTCTATCGTTGAAAGATGCCTATACATTTCAACATCATCCTTCCAGCATACGACCGGTCGAAGACCTTCAATACTGCCAACAATGCTACTCCATTTGAAGACACAACTTCCTGAAACAACATGAATCACCATGAACAGACGTATTCAGAGACAACGCGTCCAAAGCTACAAAAAAAAAAAGAAAATATCAACGGCAGCCATCTGCCCATCGGCAGCAAATTATGCCACCCTCAGCGTGGACGGCGGATAAATCTTCATATAGGTGTAATAATGCAGTCCTCCGCATCGCTAAATGACAGAGATTTCTCAGCAGATGAGCAACGCCGAGAGGTTTTAAGATGACACAGCTGGTCTGAACAACCTATAGCGGGAAGTGGGCGCATTCGCAACTTCCATCCGCTGTATAAAAGCCAGAAGTCTGGCTACAACCTGTATGCTTTAAAAGATACAACCGAACTACGACCTGGCTGGTGTAATGAGCTCATCTCTTACCCATCAATCCAGCTTGTCACTTTAGCAAATCCCTATGCCCACTTGACAGCTCTGAATAGCCTACATCGTGAAGTGGTGCCATCTGCAACCTCCCTTCGGGTGAAGAAACACCTAAAGTTCGGCTTTTATTTGTATTCTACGAAAGTTAAACCTTAACTAAATCCGATCTGTCTGCACCTAAAGTTCGTCCTCTACCTGTATTCTCCGAAAAGTTTAACCAGACCCAACTTCGATGTGTCTAGTCTTGTGAGCACAACTTTTTTAATCAACCAAGCACGCCAAGTTAGGGGAGACCTAAGCCTTATTGAAGAATACATCGCTCGACAGTCAAAGATTGTCGAGGAGCGTTAAGATCGCATGAAAGGCTTGAAGAATCTACACCGTGATGCGGTTACTTCTAAAAACTCCATGCGTTAGATAAACACCAAAATTCTGGCTTCCAAGCAAGCCGAACTCCGATATGGCGGGTGAAGTATGCTCAATTCCTACAAAAAAATATGATCGCTGGATATTTCAGACGTCTGCTTGGCGAGCCCCCAAACCACAGCTCAATGGCTCGATGTCTACATATAGTCCACTCGTCTGTCAACAAAGGCGCTCTGAACTTAACCGAGTGAAATTGTATATTCTGACACTAAGGATGAAATAGCCAACAGAGGAATGTGACTAAACAGCTATTTTGGTTAGGAGTTGTTGCTATAAAATGTTTATAAAGCTTTTCCTCTCGAAGATGAAGAATAAATTTCATTGCGAAATTGTACTTAAATAAAAATTGTAAAATTGGAATTTTTGTTTCGCAAGCCGTCGTCACCTTGTAATCACTTTATTTTTTATTTTTTCATTTGGTGCACCATTAGTTTTATTACTCTAGGTTCGTTCGTTTTGGCAAAAAGAACATTTTCACCGTTTACTATTGACATTTTGAAGTATCTTCAATTATGAAAACTAACAAAATCGTAAAATTTCAAAAATTACAATATAACTGCGACACATATCGTCCCGATTCTGCCTTAACCACGTATCTACAATTTTTTGGAAAACTAATATTACCACTTATAACAGCTGTTTAAGCGTCACACTATTTGAAAATAGAACAAAGTCTTAATGAGGTTGCTCACTACTGTTAGTGCAACCAGAAATATTAAGTAAAAAAATGCGTTTATTGTATCCTAGGGGAAGAAATTAAGAATTTTTTCTTACACTCTCTAAAATACCTCTATTGCAGATACGAGGTTAAGGCAGAAACGGGACGATATTCTGCATGCTGTAAATTTTTTAATTTTGGTGGTACACTCTTGAAACTTCAGAGATATGCTGTATTTGATGCGAACTTTCATTGCCTCTAATATGAACATTATATTTGAAAACTTCCCAAAAATGAAGACCAAGGTAAATTTAAACACTATACTTATATAAGAGCAAAGGTGAAAGACCTTAAAACAAAGGAAAAATGTGAAGAAATGTGCGATTTTGTTATCGATATTTTATCGATTTTGCTATCGATTATTTATCGGTTTTTTATTGATTATCAATCGGGTTTCGTATCGATTTTGTTATCTTCTATTTATGGATTTTCCTATCGATTATTTATCGATTTTGTTATCGATTTTCTGATAGATGTTTGTTATCGGTTTTGTTATCGACATATTTATCGATTTTCTAATCGATTTTTCTACCAATATTCTCGATTTTGCTATCGAAATTTGTATCGAATTTGTCGTCAATTTTGTCATCGATATTTTATTTTGTATGTTTTATATGTTACTATCGATTCTGTTATCGATATGGTATAAAGTTAAAAATTAAGGTAAAGGAAAACCGAATAACATAAATGTAATTAGAACGAACAGGGGTAGAGGTAGGGATCTAGATAGAAAAAAGACAAAAAATATAACCTTAAGCAAAAGCAGATGTATGTAAGTATGTTTATTGGTTATGAGACAAAATAGATATGTAACTTAAGTTTCACTTCTCCAGTGTGGCACAGGCGCACTTACTTTTTTTCTGGCGAGATAAGGAAGTGACACTGAAAAAAGCTCGTGAGTTTCGCACATATGCGTGACACATAACAAACCAAATTAACCTACTACGAAGCATCCAGGGACTAACTTAACCAAATATCCGAAAAGAGAAAATCTTTGGAAACATCATCTGATAGCAGATGATGCTGGCGGAAAAAATGGTGAGAAAGTGTTTCAAAGTGGCATTTTGTGTTCCATTTGGGCCCTTGCTTCAACGCGCAGGTAACGCCATCTACCACCTAGGTACCAAGAAAGGCTCATGCACATACATATAAGCACAAGTTTTTTTTCCATTTCCTACTACCTTTCTTGCATACACACCTGTCGCAGCGGGCGTGTGTAACCACGTTAACGGCTTAAAAGCGCTCAATGCTTTATGAGCTTGTAAAACACAATAAATGCATTTATTTGCGCTACCAAAGTCGAAGCTTCAACGAATATGTAAATGTAAAAACAATATTTATTTATGAGCTTCAACTTAATGTGCTTTGTACTTAGGTTTAGAAATGTCGGCAAGAAAGTGTTGACGCAAGGGCCACAAAAGTGTACAGGGAAAGGTTTCGTGGTATTATTATACTTATGTATGTATGTATATTAGGGCGAGTCAATTTGTATTGGAGTGTTTTTTCGACTATGTGCTTATAGCACAGAAGGATTTTACGTTTAAAATCAATTAGGAGTTTGCCAAAAGGTTTCTTGGCATTTGCGGTAGTGTCGCAAAAATGTGATTAAATAATGTATAAAAACAAGCTAGAACGGGTGTTTGGTATACAAAATCCATTTCTGCACTTATCTTTTGCTTAAAACTTCCACCAGAGCGCGCAACAGTGAAAATTTTCCTAATTTTTTCTATACCTATTTTCCCAATTTGGCAGACTCAAAATCGATTTTAGATCCATGGTTTCTTCGGCGAATTTGCTTAGAATAACACGTACAATCCTCCTATGATATATGCGCGTATTAAGAAAAAATTGATCTGCCCTAATGTATATACTTAGATTCAGGTGTTTTCAAGATTTTGATTTGCAGAAAATGTACGCCATTGTTGCTGATATCCCTAAGGGACTCCCAAATTTATTTTTGTTTGCCACTCTTGGTATGAGTTTAGGCAAACCCTAAAATTCGATGCAAAGTTTTTTTGCATTCTGTTCTGATTTGTTCAAGCTAATTTTTCGGATAGTAGCAACTGAGTTTCAAAGGCAGCTTTCTGCTCAGAAATAGCGATAAGCTATTGTCAATTAAACTGCTATCCTCGCTCTCTTCGCAGAAGCGTCAAGCCCGCCAAGCGCACTAAGCACATTTGATCAGTTAGTTGTTTAAGCTAATAATCTAGCAGTTAGTAAGAGTTTGACTCTAAGGCGGTAAAGTTGTGTTCACTACAAAGTTTATGTAAGTGAATACTAATTAAAAAAAAAAAAAACACAATAAATAACTATTTATTTAAAATTACGCAAGACAGGGGAAGCGCTGGCGCATACAAAGCCAAAGCAATAAAACTGGTTTAAAAAAATCCCCTAAGATCAGCCAGTGAAGCTAATGGCTTTACTTTTTGTGATTTTTTTTTGTGCTTCTAACTGTTCGCAAATTGGATTGCTTTGAGATTGCGGTAATTGTTAAATTATTTACATACATACATAGGTACATTAGGGTGCATCACTACCCATACAAACAAAAAAAAAACCGTACTGTTCTTCCATAGGAATTATACAATTTCCAATAATTTAAAACTTTGGCCATCATATTTCGGAAAAAATATTTGAATTTACATGCGCTGGGCCGATTTTAAAATACCTCCAAAAATCTCATTATTTTGATTCCGTTGATAAAATGTTCAAACGTTTTTATGCAGACCTATTAAGCTTAAACACTTTTATTATATGAGGTGATTTTTTTGGAAAAAACACATTTTTAAAAATTCATTTTATTCACAAAAAACTAGATTTTTCCAGTTCTTCTTAAAACGGCTCACCGCATCAAAATCTCAATATTTTTTTCGAAATATTAGGCGGAAGTCTTTAAATATAATGAATTGTATAATTTCGGTGGAAAAACCGCGGATCTTTTTGGTGAGACATCATAATGTATATATGCCACTCTTATCTAAATATAGGGCGTGCAAAATTATTATTTGTAGCCGAAGATTAATTGCGGTAGAGACCCTAGCAACTTTCCCCCAATCAAACGTATCTATGTATATGTTATTACATTTTAGTAAAAAAGCTAAATAGAAAAAAACACTGCCAACAACAAATATTTAACTTTAATTGTTTTCTAGTGTATATGTAGTTTTACTATGTAGGTATACACACATATGTGCACATTTACGTTTTACGTTTTACATACTAATAGCCTTATTCATAAAAATAAAGCAGCTTTAAAAAAGGTGTATAAATTGAAAAATTTATGAAAAAGTCAATTTATAAAGCCCTTTAACCCTACATTATTTTTTGAGAATAACGCCATAAAATTATTAAATAATTTACCAATTTTTTTATTCAGCTTAAAAAGGTGGCAACACTTTACACAAAAAATACCAGCTGCTTTCATTTGCTACCAGTTTTCTAATATTTTACTCAATTTACATATTTCATAAATTTAAATTTTTTGGTATGTAGGTGGCAGCTTGAGTAATTTTTTTTTTAAGCACTTTGAATACCTTTCCTGTGCTATTTTTTACGCGTATATAGCAGGCTTTACTACATATATTTTCAGAATAATAAATTTAATAAATTATTTGTTTTTGTTATTTTTTTGGCCTTATATCAATTATATTCAACAATTTATATTGAGCTCGAGGCCGTTTTAAATGAAAATTTTTATTGTGGAAAAGCAACAATAATTTGAAAAAATGGTAGAAGTGATAGCTATTTCGGAAATCACCACATTTCCTCATCAGACTTCTTTCAGTAGGATTCGAACCGACGATCCCACTGACTCAGCCAGTTGCCTATGCACCGTGCTAAGTACGCCTTGTAAATTATCGTTTGCTTTTTTCCACTATTTTCATTTTTGTTATGCCAACACAATCAAGCGCAGCTATTCCGCTGCAATTCACTTGATCATGTGGTTGTTGGTATTGTTGGTTTTTGCTAATAATTCTATTTTTAGATTGTTTAACTTTTGGGTGTTTTAAATTATTTTGCATCTTTCGAATAATTAATTAAAATGATTAATTAAATTAATTAATTAATTATTGAGTTTTGTTTTAATGTTTTAAAAATTTGGCAACTGTATTAAAATACTTTTTGTGTGATGCTAATTTCACCTAAGTTATAAAAGCAGATTTTTAGCTATTTAAAATAAAGTTTTAAAAGCTTCCAAGTTCATTTCTTTTCGTACTGAATTTCTATATTCTACATACTATTTTATTCTTTTTGTTAATATTTCTTTTCCAATAATAAATCCAATAGGTCTGCTGTTCCATTGGCGCCCTCAATTCTTGACTAGCAATCGAAGCTTTCCAACTTCAAAGTCATGCATTCACCACGCATGCGAAGTTCGTCGAGTGATGGCTCTACTACAGTGACGTCCTCTCCACGAATATTTGCACACTCGTCATCTGTGGACACAACAACATCGGGCGCATATTCCGATGAATCTTCGAACACATTTATTGGGACAGCTTTGGAAGACTCTGAAACATCAGTAGTATGCGCGGAAGAATATGGAGAGTTGACAGCGCAAGTTGCTTTAGATTGTTCATCAGGTATTTATACTCTAAATCGTGTCCATCACAGATTAGATTTAAGCCAATTCCTTCTCCAACTATAGAACTCAACGCCGTCTACAGCTCGGCTCGTGCTGATCTTTCGGAAAGTGAGGCGCAGTGTGAGTTATTACGACAACGTGTTACCGATTATGAGATTAGAAATTTCATGCAGGTATGTTAATTCGCGTTACGCATTCTTTTTTACACCATCGACACTTTTTCTTTCTACCATATAGGTATGCAGAAGCCCAGAATATCTTGACTTCCATCCCGAACACTTACAGCGCATCGTGGAGAATGACGATCTGAACGTAAGCTCTGAAGCAGATGTTTTCTGGTCTATTAAACGTTGGTATAAACATGATGCGCAGACGCGACAGCAGCACTTACCCGACCTGATTGCGTGTCTGCGGCTTACACAATTCGATGTTGACTTCTTGTATGCGAATATCAACGCAATGCCTGGTTGCGAGCTTTTGGTGAATAGAGCCGTAGAATGGCTACTTCGGCCTAACGCGCGCTCCACAATACCTTTGCGTTTTACAAAACCGCGCAAGGTGCTGCGAACGGAAGAGGATACACTTTGGTTAGCTGTGCAGACGCGAGGAGATGTGAGTCAAAAAATAAACACGTCTTAGACTTCGGTAAGCAGATGCGAATTTATGTCTTACTCTTTTATAACTATTTCAGCATCGTTTCGCCGACAAATGCATCCTACGTTACAGCCGAATGCATGGAGAATGGCAGAAGTGGGCTGAAATAAAATTGGAGCGCAGCAATTTCGGTGTAGTACAACTGGAGCACAGTCTCATCTGTATAGGCGGCTTGGGTCGTAATAATAAGCCTAGTAATCGTGTGAACCGGTATAATTTGAATACCCGTACCTGGGAGCCAATGCCATCGATGGAGTATCGTCGGGTTTACTTGAGTGTCGCGCTTTTGGATGGCAGAATATATGCCTTCGGTGGGCAGGATGAAAAATATCAAGCGCTCAACTCGGTGGAAATGTAAGTATCGCCTACACACTACACTTGGAAATTCCAGCCAAGATGGGGCCTTAGGAAACTAAACTTATGCTATCTTCCATCAAACCAAACTATGTCGAAAGCAGAACAAACCACAGCCTGAGGGTTAAGCCAAGATCGAATTAGGGCAAAGGCCAAAACACACTTCTAAAACAGTAAAAAAAACATTATCTAAAGTTAGAACAGAGACTGGGATAAAAACCAATCGGTGATCATTAAAAAAAACGAAGTAAAGAAGAAGCACACAATCACGCGCAAAACTTAACGCGTCTCTAAAAATACCTTGCAAATGAAACAGGATGAGCAGGATCCAGATATGTACAAACAAAACAACAAAAACCAAACCAATAGAGAAAATAAGGAACGACAGCATAAGTGAAGCCAAGATGATTAACTAAAGCAAGGCAAACTGCAAAACTAAAATATTTAAAAACGAGACCAAAACTAAAATGATAGAACAGGGCCCATTCCAAGCCTTCGCCGATGACTTTAGGAAAGACAAAATGCAACATCCGAGATCTAAGTTAAGCTCAAAACCAAACCACGTCAAAGACCATACTGATAGGAAAAAAACGTCCAGAACAAATTTCGAAATAAAAAACAAATGCACGAATTAGAAACAGTCAAAACAAAGAAAAAATTTCTGAGAGCCATTCGCGTTTCTAGACAATCCTGGGGAAAACAGTTTAAAAACGCATTCTATTCTGCGATGCGTTAAGCTGTGCCTCTCAGGTTCCTCAATTTGACTTTGCTACACCAGCACAGACTTTAAAGTCTTCCACCAGCTATTCTCAGTGGGGGAAGCTTCTACTTCCAGACCGGTCTAGTATCCTTCAGATTGAGATCTATGCGGAATGGAATGATGCTAAAATTGTTCTTAGCTCCTTCAAAGTCCACACCTGACAACTAAGGTATATTCATGTCAATTCTTCGTGGACCAAGTTTTGGTATTAACTCACTTCTTACTAGCCTTGGACATAAGATATCGAACATGATGACCGCGTAAGATCGCATTTCATAGACTTTTGACTAGATGTAACTAGTAGTTTGCCAGGTGTGCTCCATAGCCAAACTGCTGTTAAGCTTCTCAATAAAACGAATTTTAAATTTTTTTAACAGGGACGTCGTTGTGTCCACAAACACATACATGCCTTGAACGTTGTTCCGTTGGAATTTAAAGATTTGGTAACCACAGGCCGGACTCCTTAATTGCGGAAAAGTTCTGCTTGAAAATCGCTACAGTGGCTAAGTTAATGAAAACTGAAAATAGAAACTTATAGAAAATTTCCTGTCTCTACCGAGTAGTGGAATGGTGCCCGAATCTGCGGTCTCTCAACGGCTGGATCGCATTTAACCTGGCAAGAATTTGCCGTATAAATCTACTGGTGGAAAACTTAAATTACTTCCAGACCTTTGTAGGGGTCGAAGGAAAGGCTCTCGTGACAAGGATGAACACGGTCCGCCGACACATTCCATGTTGGCTCTGCGTAGAGTCTTGGTTAGCACGGGCTACCAACCGGAGGTCCCGTAGAAGAGGATGGTAGTTGAGTGCACCGTATGTACGATATGTGGTCTTATTACTCAGTTTTTACCTTTAGCCGTCTTGCTGGCGCACAGTTCGGTAATGGCCTTCCTGGACTAGTTTCCAGTCTCCCAAGGTACTTGACAACTGCTGAGAGGGTAATTTCTATCCCGTGGTTTAAATGAAAAACCAAAACCAAAAGTGGGAAATTAGTATTGGATCTGTTTTTCCACAACTGCTTTTCAGTTCAACTATCTCCTCGAATTTACTCTTTCTTTAATTTTGTAAAATTCCTCTAGGTTCGACACTATCGCTGGCCGTTGGCAAACTATGACCAATATGCCAACCCGTCGCGCTGGTACTGGGACAGCTGTTTTATATGGCAAACTCTATGTGATCGGTGGTTTCAATAAAGCACACTTGAGCGCAGTGGAATGCTACGATCCAACGAAAAATCAATGGACGCAATGTGCTGATATGAATGAGTCACGCGGTTGGCCGGGGGTAAGTGTGAATTTATTAAAAAACAAAAAATTATTTTATTAAAAGAGTTAAATTGTATGTAAAAACGCAACAGGTAACTGTACACAATGGATGTATCTATGCCATTGGCGGGTGGTATAATGGTGCGCTGCACACTGTGGAACGTTACTGTGCAGAGAGCAATAAATGGACTATGGTTGGCGGTGAAATGTTGCAAACTGTATATTGATACTAACTATTTTTTTTTTTTTAAATCGTAATCAACAGATTTCCGCTTTGAATGTTGCACGTGGCAGCATCTGTGCGTTGTCTATCAATGAGGAGTTGTGGGCGATAGGCGGCTATAGCGAGGGTGTGCTCAAGGACACAGTGGAGGTGTACGATGCTGAAAATAATAAATGGATTGAAAAGAAGATGCTGCCCGAAGCTGGTAGATATGTATGCTAAGTGGACACTGATTTGGATTTTTGCTTTGTTTATAGCTCTGGGAAATCTATCTGTACAACTTATTAGAAAGAACCTTTAAACACAATTGCAGCTGTGCTACTTTTGTGTGTTCCAAATTTTTATGGCTTCAAAGAAAACAAAAGCAAACAAGTAATTTTTAAGCAAAAAATAATAATTTAAGCAAAAAACGAAATTTTTATGGTTTCAAAGAAAACAATAGCATACAAGTAATTTTTAAGCAAAAAAAAAATAATAAGCAAATAAAAATAATAAATAAGGCTTCAAAGAAAACAAAACCATACAAGTAATTTTTAAGCAAACAAAAAATTTAAGCAAAAAACAAAATTGACAAAATCAATAAACTGAATGATCTATGGATCAATTAGTTCGTTGAAAGCGGACTGTAGCCTTCAAGCAAAACTATCGGGAATGCCTTAAATGCGTTGCTCAAATTTTTGACTGGTGGTAGATCCGATTCGAGTCGATTTTCTGCACTAATTTCATTTTTAGAGAGAGAAGGCAGAGAAATGTTCCCTCTTTACTTAACGCTTTCAAGACCAAGAAAAACATTTTTCCCGAAGAGTTTTCCCACTCATAAATAAATTGTAGTTTGCCTAATGTTTACTAAGCTTTTTTCTTAAAATTTTAGAAATACAGTTTTCTACCAAAACTGCACAAATTTGCCAAATATTAAAAACAAATTAATTTAGAGAAAATACAAGTCTAGAAAAAAATATTTAAGGAAAACGTATATTAGTAGAAAGCAAATTTTGGAAAAAGGGATAGCTTTAGAAAAAAATTTATTTATTGAAAAAACAATTATTTAGAAAAAAAATTTAAATACATATTGGTTAGAAAAACTATTTTTTTATGTAAAAATATATGTAAAACGGAAGCAGAATAAAACTACATAATAAACATAAAATAAAAAGATTTAATGAGAAAACATTTTATAGGAAAAAAGAGCCAACTTAATTAAAAAAAAGTTATTACTCTAAGTAAATTATTAGAAAACAAATTTTGAAAAATTTATAGTTTTAAGAAAAAAATTAATTTATAGAAACAAAAATTATTTGGAAAAAAATTCAAAAAAAATTGATATATATTTAAAAAAAAAAAAAAATATTTTTTTTGGAAAATACTTAGTAAAAAAAATATTTCTAGCAAAAACAGAATAAAACTAGAAAAAATTGTATAGGAAAATAATTTAAGCGAATTGAATTTAAATAAAGTTATATTTTTTTTATCGGCTTTAAAATATGTAGGATGCTCTCAATTCGTTGTGTAATTTCTTTTTAATTATAGGCTTAGAGTCCAAAAAGGGTTAAACTATACGCTGCATATCGCTAACTAATTTTCCTTATTTATTTTTAAAGGAATTCTTTCTGGTCTTAAGAACTATCGTAAGTCGCCTAACTTTATTGGATAACACAGGTTTACAAAAAAAGTGTATACATATTAAACCAAACCTATATATCCCTATGTTATTCGACACGCTGAATGCGAATCCGAAGTCCGTTAGTCTCCACCACGTCAGGTTCGTGGCCATTTGAAGGTCAAGTAGGGGAAAATTAATTGAATAAACCTGAAAATTCAATAAAATTCATCGGAATTTGACCTTGGGATGACCTTGGCATGACCTCCAGACGACCTTGAGGAATCAAGGGACCTCCATACTCGGTTTCAGTCACAACAAAAACATTTTTTTTTTAATTTTTATTGAATAAATTGTATGTCCTATTTGAACTTCAAATGACCTCGAAGCTGACACTATGGAGGTTAACGGACCTCGGATTCGGGTTCAGCGAACGTAAAACCTTATGTATATGAATTTTCAGGTTTACTCAATGAATTTTTCCCTACTTGACCTTCAACTGACCACGAACCTGACGTGGTGGAGACCAACGGACTTCGGATTCGCATTCAGCGTGTCGAATAACATAGGGATATATAGGTTTGGTTTAATATGCATAAGCTTTTTTTTATAAACCTGTGTAATTTGCGTTCATTCCTCCTGTAAGTCAGAATTTAAATCTCTCTCTCGCATTATGATAGGAAAAAAAGTTTCTCTTTAATATTCAGTTCCTTACACTGATTCCACAGAGCTTGCGTTGTGATTTACTGTATCGTACATGTGTAGCTCGTGTTGGTCAGTGTACGCGCACGCGGACGTAAAAGTATGGTCTGAGTAAAGTCGAATTACTGTAACTGAACAAAAGTTAAGTAAAAATTTTGTAAGCGCCGATATATAAGAAGAGTTACTCGAAACCAAAAAAATACGCAAATGTAGGATTTAACCATGAAATAAAAGTAAGAAGTAAGAAAATCCAAAATGAGCTGTAAAAAAAATTCTCGAAAAACCCACTAAGGGTCCGAGAAATCCCTCAGTTGTCCGCAAAATACTGAAAAGTTTATTAAGAATCCCGAAAGCTTCAAAAATATCCGAAAAGTCCAGTTAACTCTTCTGAAGTAAGGAAAAATATATTTTATTTATATTTTTTGTGTACATATGAAGCGGACAGCAAACCCGATTAAACGCTCAACCCACAACGACATCGATTACAAGACAGAGCTGGTAACTTCGGCGCTATCAAAAACAAACAATGAGCGACGTTGACAATTTTTAAATTAAATTTTTGCACGAAACAACCATTTATGTATAAAAACTGAAAATTTTTCCCAAGCCCTGAGGTTATTATGGCAAACCCTGAGTACTGAGATTCGATGGAAAGCCCCTGAATTTCAGGCTGAAAAATCCAATTTGGCAACCCTAGTTGCAAGTATTAAAAGCGCACAAACAAAGGCATACAAAAATTATGGTTCTAAATTAGTCACCACTGTGAGTATGGTTTTTAAGTTTTCCATAAATTTTATATATGTATACGCACACTGTGTCAAGGTACTTACTTTCTCTGATAATCACTGTTTTAAATTTAGCAGAGTCGTAGCAATGCGTCGCCACTACTGCATTTCTTTACTGGGATCGTCTGACAGCTACTGATCCGCTCGTACATTACTCAGAGAGCATTCAGGGAGCTACGAGTTGCCGGCTACAGACATGCACTTGCAAAGATACTGGTTAACATGTAGATATATACATTAGGGTGGCCCAAATATGCATTGTAAAAAAACTTTTCCTGGAAAAAAGCAAGAAAGAAATAAGAAAGTTAACCCTTTTGTAAAATCTTGGGGTGCTGCTATACGGAGTCCGAATGGTTATAATTTACAGTTAAATAGGTCCAATTACTTGGGAGGGAGTCCTCTTTTAAATCCTAGTAGTTTAATGGTAACTTTTTTAAAACCCTGACTAATGACCTTCACTTTTCGAAAATTCAAAATTTTCTTATGTATTTTATATGGTAAAAATAAGGTACCAAGTTTTAACTGCAGTTTATGCCTATTGCTTATATTAAATACAAGCAAACGAAAGGAAAAAAAAACAAAAATCAAGATATACACCTTGCCGATCACCCGATGTTAAAATTCTTAGAACTTAAGCTTTTAACTGCAGTTAAGCCTTTAGTGGAAATATGCTACTAATATTAAAATTTGCGAAAAAAATGGTATTTACTTCTTTTTGACATTAGAACATATTATGGGGATTTCTTGCTTATTCCCCACGAAAAAAAATTTTACTACCCTAATGTACATATGCATATGCTACATATGAGTCAATCCATGTCAAATGGTATTCCTCGAATATTTTTCATTTGGATGAATTTGGTCAGAACTCTTATTTTATCATATAAAAACAAAAGTTCCACCAAAAGAAAATAATTCAAAAAAAATTACAAATTTAGTTTAATTATGTTTTGAATATCTCAAAAGCTATCATACTTACAAGTCTCGTTTTAAAGTTGATATAAAGAAAAAATGATTTAATAAAAAAAATCAAAAAACTTGCAGAATTTTTAAATTTAAAAAGAGCACAAAAATTTTATGTTTTTTACTAATTTTTTTTTGTCATTTAATAGACACCTCTAACTAATCGTAAAGGACCCTGAAATTATAAACTTATTTTTAAAGGTATGAATTTTGAACTTTGAAAACAAAATTTTTTGCAAACTCTAACTGAGGCTCTTTTACAGAATTTTCAAGTAATTTAAATTTCCTTTTAATTTAGAGTTTCCAAAAAAAATTAACTTGCAGTGTCCTGTTACGCAACCAGTAAGAGTTCTAAGACCCCCCAGCTAAGTTAAGGAGTTTTTCGGAGTTCCTCTTGGAAGGAGTTATGGATCAGGGCTCAACGCTTTGCGAGACAGTGAGACCTTTCGTTGCCTTCAAAACCTTCATGTCCCGAAAGCCACCGCAGCATTACGCTATTGTTGGCTCATACGTGCTTCAAAAGCCTTGGTGCCGTTTTAAAGGAGTCCAAGGCCTTTAAAGCTGCCTGTCTATTCGAAATAACATTTATTCTGTCCCCATTTGTCCTTCTACGAAGACATTCGTAAACACATATTTCGATTTCTAGAACTTCCTCCTGGGAAATGGTTGGGTATGTGGCCACTGGTACACTTTTCTGTTATCGTGGTCCAAGGACCCTTGCCCCAGTACTCCAGTCATCCATCTTCGATCCGTCATGTACACTATACTTGGGACCCTTGGTCAATCATAATATTGTCGCTTCCTACCAGTCTCCTTCAGGAATTCTAGCCTCGAAGGGTTTGTAGAAGGATAACCTCGGTAGCATGATGTCCGTGAGCTTGATAGCGAGATTATCCAGGAATGGTTTGAAAACCTCTAAGTCCTGCCAAAAAAAAAAATTTATCTAGCCCACAAACCTACCAAATCGAAAAAACCTGCCAGTTTTGGTAGAGCTTGCAAAATTTTGTTCCCCATTCACAATTTCCTATATTAAGAAACAGCTTTTTGGAAACTGTAGGGTCTTTTAAGATCCGTTAGAGGTATTGTATTAAAAAACATGGAGCCAAAAATTTATATAAGTTTTTTCTTTTGCGATTTTTAAAACTACAAAATTCTGTAACTTTTTAATTATTATTTTTTTTTTTTTTTTTGATACAAGTATTTTTTTATATAGCACCAAAATCACATTGCCAAATCAGGAAAATTGTGAAACTTTGGACTTTCGAAAAAAAAAAATGTTGCCAAAGTTCTTACCAAAATCCATCCAAATCGAAGATGGTCGATTTCAACCATTGGTCGATTTGGTTTCATGGATTGACCCATATACATACATAGGTATATGCATACATGTGCATGAATTAGCAGAGAATGTTGCAGTAATCTTAACTCCCGCTTGGCGCTCTATTGAAGCTTTTCGTGCACTAGCCGTTGGAGCCGGAAGGTTTTAGCTACAATGCGGTATGCAACTTTAGTTTGTCGTCTACCTGCGCTTGGCTGCAACAGATTCAGTATTTTATCGCTTAGTGCTTTTGTATTTATCCATCGCCTTGACATTACTTATTATTCTTTTTCGAATATGGAGCAACGTTGGTTGCGTGATAAGAAAATGATATTAACGGGCAGTGATTTGAGTGCCAGCGAGGATGGAGAATATGAAACAATTATTTTAAGACATGCCAATTTGGAACAAAGTGATATTGAAGTGATAACAAAAAAATTTGCCTATGCAACTTATTTGGATTTATCGTACAACGAGAGAATTGGTAATGAATTGTGATAAAAGTGAAAAGAATGTCGGAGGCAGTGCGAACTAACTACGGATAAAAACATACTTATGTCGATACTGATATGTTTGATGTACATATATTGATGTAGATGAATCATTTGCGGAATATAATTTTGCAGTCAGAACAACGTCAAACTGGTTTCTAAATACATATATGTATGTCTGTGTCTATGTATACACATTAGTGTGCGCATTATTTGTTTGGAGATATTTTTTTTTTTGTAATATAGATAGGTTCGTTTGAACAGAAAAACGTGCTTTGCGAAACATTTTCAAAGTGGAGTAACGGAAGGACAAGTCTCAAGAGCCTTAAAGTTACATACGCCAATTCAAAAAACGTTACATAAAATAGGAGAAAGAGCTTCCCTCAATCGATTTTTACATGTTGATCTCAACTATGGCTACGCCAAGTTACAGTTTTTACATAACTTATTGGCTATTGTGACATATCTTTTCATTATCCAACTTTGAAAATTTTTCGCGTAGCATATTTTTATAGCCAAATGAACTTATCGAGAGACAGTCTTGTTTTGTGGATCAAAGTTTAAAAATAAGGTTGCATCCTAATACACATGTATATTTGTATGTTCGAAAACATATACAATGTACATATGTATTTACGTTTTAATTGTTTTGAATCAATCAGCTGGCTGATGCATTAATACCCGTTACAGTTGTTTATGTTTGCTTTTTGATTTTGTGTATAGTATATGTATTTAATTATTGTTAGTTGTTTCTTGCTGCTACTAAATAGTACTTGCGTCAGTATTGGATATACATATCTTATTACATTAAACGAGCAATTCTTATATATCTATCGGCTCTAATGATTTTGATAAAATTTTGTACACATATAATGTTTTGGATTTTAAGATTATCTGAGTAGGCTTTTTCTCTGAGAAGACTCGCATAAGGTTCCTCCCACCTATTCGAAATTAGTTACAAATTAATTAAAACATCATAATATGGGCATTAAATGGAAAGTTTTTTTTAAGTATCCCTAATTCAAAAATATTTTTAATAGGGTTGCCACCTATTTTGAATCGTATATTTATTCAATTTTTTTTTGAATACATTTTTTTTTTTAATTTTAGAAAAAAAGGTAAAATATTACTATTCATGGGTACCAAGAGAAAGTTCTTAAACAATGCTTTCCCTATATACAAAATGGTATCCCGTAGGATAGTAGCGTAAGGTTGCCACTTATTTTCGATTCTACACAATTTATCTAACACATCGCAATATGTATATCAAACGAAAGATATTGTTGAGGACTTTAGTCAGACAAAAATTTTCGTTCACGGTTGCCACACTTCTATGTAATACAAATTTTTATTTTGTTAATTTCCATCACAATTTTTTGTATGTATACGCAGTACATATATGCGCAAGATACATATATCGTATTTCTGAATAGGGTTGCCACCTAATTTTTTGGGTGAAAAATTTACTTAATAGATATCGAAATCCAAATTTTTGATTTTATTTTTTTCAAACGTATTTTTTTAAAGCTATCCAAATGACTAGTATTTGATATCCAAACCTTGAAAACTTTAAAAAGTATATGCACTCCGGGCAAAGCTCGGTCAACCTGGTACTAATTACAGTAAAGTGTCGATGTAGTGTGCTGTCTAAAAGCTACTTTTAACCCGTTACTTGTGACGCGAAAAGATTTTACACAAACAGTGACATGGGGTATTTTAGATTTTTCTCATGATTATTTTTAATTTTATTAAAAGTAATCAATTAAAAAACTTTTTTTTACATGTGCACAAACAATTCATTTTATTCTCACCAAAAATATATAAACAAATTTGTTACAAACAAAACCGTATTGAAGTTTGCGTGCCCTGAAACATGATTTAATTTTTTTACGTAAAAAAAGCCGTCCAAAAAAAATCCGGCAACACTTGCAGAACCTCCTTAAACCAGGTCACTGCGTCTGCTAATAAGGACCATTGAGTGCTCTATATAGAAGTAAAAATTCAAAGAATAGCGAAAGAACTTAATGAAGAGTCTTATGTGGTGGAGTAGAATCTATCTCAGAAGGAGTCACGCTCAAAAAAATACTCTCAAGTACAGCTCAATGAGCCCCATGATGCTTGCAAACACCAGATGACCCTTGGACAGTTAGTGAAGAAGGATCTTTGAACCTGCTGGCAGACGTCAACCACTGCGGTCATTCTACCTCCCGGTATCAGAAGAGCCTTCCCTGTGACTTCCTGATTTTTCACTATTTTGTCTTTGAATATAGAGACATTTTTTCTCTTTTGAGGTGAGGCTGGGGCAGTTCGCACTGGGCGTGATACTCTCACCAAATGTAAATTTTTGGCGTGGTTTCTGAACTATAAATGGTACAACATCCATAGAGATCCCAGCGCACGGAGGAAGAATGTGGTAGAATATTAGACAGAGCGTAGCTCTAGTGTACCAATTCGTGCGAAAAGTGAACAGCTGGGATTAAAACTGCCTTGTAAGCTTGGGTGAATAGTAGCTTTGCGGAGATTAATTACTTGGTTATACAGTTAGTACCTGTTAATGGGTATTTTAAGAACTAGCCCCACAAAAGGGCAAAATCGAGCTCCGACGACGCAAAACACATTTTCTTCCAACACTGGCAATAGAAAGAAGCTCACTAGAGAACTTTATGGGTTCCGCTTAGCGCAGACAATATCACATAGACAATGCTCATCAATGAATGTTAGTATTTTCGTCTCCAGTAATATCAATGCTGTGATGACGGCTTTGATGATGCATTGGCACCGCTGCCGCAAAAATAAATTACTTTAGTTCGTTTTATCTTAATTCCGTCACCATTCAATTTCACAAAATTCCAATTTCAGCCTCTTCTTGTATGTTTTGTAGTAAGAACAGCTCTACGTCGACTTGGACATCGAAAGCAAATTTCGTATAAATTCTGAAGAAATATTGATTCCGTCAAGCAATTTTAATCATACTTTGTGCTACTTACAGCTTTCATAAATTTTTTATTGACTCCCACAACATTGTACCTTAGGAACTGCACGGGTTTGCGTGATATAACTTATCGGTTTCCCACATGCACACTGAAGCACTTAGACATAGTTGGATGTTCCATTGATCTTGAAGACCACTTCCACAAATATGAATTTCCAATGCTGGAAAGCTTAACACTCAACTGGCAGCCAAGTATCAAATGGCGAAATTTACTAGGCAAAATGGGCAGCCTACAGAGATTAACTATTGAGAGTATTTGCAGACAAGGCGCAAAGAGTTGCCGCGCGCTATTAGAGACAATTGCAGAGTATAAAAATATCAAAGCGATCACCTTTTGCGGCTTACCCAGTGCAGAAGAGATCGTCCAGCTTAGTAAGTTGACTGACATAGAACTGGGATTTCGTATTAGAAACGGCGCGGAGAATAGCCTGTCCCAATTGTGCGGTCTACAAAACTTGCACACCCTCTATCTGGAGCATACGACGAGCATCTCGAATACAGAGTTGCTGACTGTAATAAAGACTTGTCCAAACTTGAGAAAAATTACGCTGGATTATTGCGATGGTGTAACGAAGGAATTCATATTCAAAGCTGCTGAGTTCTTGAGGGAACGTGATAAGTACGAACCACTGAAAGCGCGTTTCAATCTTGAGCTTTGCGGCTGTGCTAACATCGTTGAAGATATACTAGCGGTAAGTAAGTGGTAATAACGAAATAAATGTCTTCGATAATATTGTGATATTTTCAAGGATCCCCTCTACGCAAGCGCTGAGTCCGCCATGAGCTTAATTGTATTCTTCAAATGTAAATATGCAGTGACTGACTATCGAAATGAGTAAGTAAATGAATGAAAATTTTGATCTTATTTAAGCAAAAAGTTTCTTCGACCAATATCTTGAGTACTAGGTGATGCGTTGTTCAATTGTTAGTTCGAGCATCCTCCAACGGAATTGGCGTAGCAGGATTAGCAAATAACGATAACTTTGTGCTGTAACTGCCGAAGCGACTTAGGCTAGTTCAATAAAGCACGCCTTTCCCGTCTGTACCAAGTATTCTGAGAAGATTTGTGGAGGCGTGGTGGTCTCCGCTCAATTTTTTGCAGACTGCCTTGGTGGCGAAATTGCACCCAGGTGACGGCACTGGCGAATACATTGACCGCCGATAAGTAAAGCCAGTTGCAGCTATTAGGCGTTTCGAATCCAATGTGCTATCGATACTGCTATATAGCACTCACTACCGCAATAGGCAGGCGCCTTCAAATTTTCGAATGATACTCCGAATCTGTTGGCATAAAACAATCCAAAATGATTCGGGGACCGAAATGAATATGCCATACTTTGTGGAATGAATATGGTAGTGGTGCCAAGAAGGCCATGCAACGGACTCCTCTAATTGAAAGAGACAGGCCTCGCGAAGAGACAACTCGTTTTAGGCTGGAAGGAGCTCAAAGCGAGTGCCACAAACGGAAGCAAGCAGGAAGGAAGGCCAACTGACGCTTTCTTCACTTGGTATTTTCATTACAGAGTAGGCCTCCCTAGGCGGACTCCGAGTTGAAAACTTTCAGGGCTGGAATGTTTCGAGTTTATTCGAATGACATAAACAACCCAGAATAGCCGCTGTACATATTGCAATTTCCGGCGCTAGGTTTATATCGTTATAGTAACTAGTAATACCTGAATGTACTGATCTAAAGTGGTGAAGCTAGTAGGCATCAGTCAACTAGTAACAGCCACCCATGGCATCCCTCAAGGAGGTGGCAGTTCTTCCACTATTAACAATGCGGATTGTTAACAAACTTCTAGGAAAGCTAAAGAGCAATAGACGGGACTCAGGTCTTAAGGCTGGTAGGCAGTTGAAAAAGTGTTACCTTTGATGGAAACTGGGTAAGCTGATAATCGCGCGAAAATCAAAGATTAGCAGACTCTGTAGGGCTGCCAACCTTTCTGTGGCCCATCCATGGGATAAAAGACGAAGCCTCAGGTTGACCCTCACTTTCGTATTTCAAAAGGCTATTCTTTTCCGTATAAAGTCTCTGAAGAGCTGCTTAACCTTAACGTATAGGTTCTAAAAACTATCAGCGTGGTTTAGAATTATTTACCATCTCTCAATGCATTGAACTTTAGCACAACTTTTTGGATGTTATGTGATATCTGTGAAACGATATGACTGAGGCCTAGTATGTGTTCCCGTCATTCACCAAGTTACATTTTGCTCTCTAATGGTGATTTCTGAGAGCAATAGCGATGCTCTTTGACAAACCTCTTAGCAACCCTTTGGGGTTAAACCTTTTCAAAGGCCACTTTACCTCGTTACGTTGACACGTTGGATTCGGATTTAGATTTGTTAGGCCAGAAAACCGAGACCGACCTTACAAGCACTCAAGTACAGTACAACTGGCCGACGTTGATTTGCCTAGTCGCATTCCAGAGCTGTACTATCGATTTTGTAACTTTCGTTTCTTTTTACTTTACAGCCTCCTTATTCCCTACCCAGCACCAAATGTACAACTCAGCATTTACATACTTTTCGAGATCTTCAAAAAACTCAAACGTCGCTCTCACTCCCAAGCATTCGCAACGGTTTGTGTAGATTTCGAAAATGCGGCCATCGAAGAAGAGCGCCATTTGAAAATCATTTCCTGTCGTAAGGCGAAAATTGTAAATAATCGCGTATATGATGCTTACATGGAGATTACAGCTGAAAATAACAACTTCTTTAAAAATCGTATGTTGGCCAATGCCACGAAAATGGAGCTGAGCAATCGTATATTTAGACTCGAAACTATTTTTGAGGATTTTCCTAAATTGAGGCGTTTGAAGTTGTTGAATTGCGCTATAAATGAGAGCGGGATCCCCAGAAATAAGCAGTTCAAGAGCGTGAGAGATTTGGAAATATGGGGTGAGAATGCTTTGCGTTTATGGCAGACACTAGCGATGCTTTTTCCTAGAGTCACAAATGTCAATTTAACGTACGCCACGTGGGAGAGCCGACTGAATGCTGCGAGTCATGAGTTGCTGATATCAAATGAGAGCAGAATCTTTGAGCATCTCAGGAGTGTAACTACTGTTGGTTTGGTTTTGAATGATGAGGACTTGAACGTTTTTACACAACTAATAAATTTGAACAGTTTCTGCATTTGCCGCAATCCACAAATAACAGGTATGTAATGAAACGGAAAAAGCGATATGTATATTTTTATACCAGAAATTCGTCAAAAAAGTTCTCCAAACTGCACTTTCTTTGATTGTTGATCTCGGCGACCTAAATTTAAGTCCCTTAAATACGAGCCTGAAGTCGGCACCAAAAAGTGTGTACTTGGTCTAATGCAGTTAAACAAAAGTGTTGGTTAAGTGCAGTCATACGAGGTTTGGTAACTGCAGAATTATAGAAAATTACTTTTGCCGTGAAGAAAAATTTCCACACAATGATCCCATCTAGGAAAGAATGGGAAGAAGACCAAATACTTAATCAAAATTAGACCTCAAAGTGGAAAGCGCCATGTAGGTGCTCCCAGGAACTCTCACTCAGCCTCAGTTTTCGGTTTCGCGCCTTTGAAGCTGCATCAACAGCTCTTAGCAAAACTGCAAAGTGGCTGATCCATTTTTTTCTTAATCTGCATGCAGTTGCTATCTTATCTGATGGTCAGGCAGCATCATCTGTACACTGTGGCTGGAGAATTTCGCACAGACTAACAGCAAATGGTCTGCAGAGCCAACTTTCAGGATAGTATGGCACATCCGTCCCAAATTATATAAAAGAAGATCTAGACCACTTCTCCGACTGGTACGACCACTACTCCAACATGGTATCGGCGTTATTACTGGTCACGCCAATAGAAAGGTTATACAGTCGTGGGATTTATGTAGCAGCTGCCATAATATTCTTATTTCCCAGTGTGGTAGCATGAGTACTCAGAGCACCCTGGTCGCGTCTCTTGACTAATCATTTCTGTTGTGAATAGCCACAAACTTCTCCGACCCTTTCATCTGGGACAAGCCATTTTTATACAGCGTTAAGAAAGAGAGGTGTTGATATAACTCACAGGCATCCTTTGACTTCAGAAATAGCCTATATATTACCACAGTACTTTAGAAATCGTGGTATTGAATATTTGACCCCCAAATCAACCGCTTCGTAATATTTTCTAATCAGGTTCATTTGTGTATAACGACTGGGCAAGGAAAGGCACTCTTCAAAGGCTGTTTATGCCCCTGTACCTCGGTCATTTAGTCATATACGATTGGGCCTCGTGAAAGATCAACGAAGACCGGGTAACAACTAGGACACACGCAATTTTCAAGATCCTTCTGGTTCGTAATTACAAAGACTCAGCTCGCGCTGTTGATGAGGATTCTGACATGCCATTGTGCGATTGGCATTCGCATGAAAGGTTAGGGATTTGACCTATTCTCTCCTGTGGAATAATCTCTGCACTTTCTACTAAACTGCTGAACATTAGCTAGGTTAAGATGGAAACATGTTGGCTCGCACTTCCTGCCTAACTTGGAACATCTCGCAGGCAATGAAATTATCCGAACTCGTAATTTCATTTTCGGCGCTTCGCTGGCAAAATAATAATTTCCGTTAAATTTTTTGTAATATGACAAAGCACAATCTCTTCTTAATTGTCCAAATGCGTCTCTTGCTTGGGACAACCACGATAACCTACCTCTCGTACTTTAAACTTCGTAACCTCGAGATGCCGAAAACTGGTTCTACTCGGCGCAAAACAAAGAAGCTCGGGAATCGTTTCTCTATCTTTATCGTTCCCTTTGGTAAAGCAGGAACGGTAATATTAACTTTTATATGCTGAAGGGTACATGCTTTAATCTTGAGGTGGCTAAACATCTCGTTTGTTTTGAGCTTATTTATCGGGTTCCGAAATGAGCTGTTTTTGATCCATTTTTTTTTTGTGGTGATAACGAATCCGTAAGTATAAACGAGATCAATGTGTCAAAAAATCGATCCAGCAAAGAGGCAAGAGGAGATAAAATCTTCCACTTGCGCTTTAATTAAAGCTAGAACTCTCGACTGCTATCCCTGAAAATACTAGCCCTGCACCTTGACCTGATTAAATCATTTATTGAACAATAAAAATATACTGCAATATTGTGCTATTGAAAAAAAAACTGCCAAAATCAGTTTTTTCTGTTAAACAAAAGACTACAAGTGACCTAAGAGTCAAGGAGCAGAAATGGTATTTTCAGAGAGTGGAGTCGAAAGTTCAAACCTTAATTTAAGCCAAAGTGGAAGGTTGTATCACGGTTTGTTTAATTCAATTAGGTACTCCAACTTCGCCAAAGTAATTTTTTCCGTTCAATGAATTACTATAAGTGACCACCATATCATTCTGGCTTTATTGTAAACCTGAGTGGAAGGATCTATCGTTCTTTGGTTTTTTTGCTAAAGCTTCTCAAATATTGCAAAAAAAATCGATTTTTTAACACTTTGACCGTTTTTCTCTGAAAAATCTGGAGCTAATGGAAACTTTATCTTTATGGATTCGTAGTGAGCATTAAAAATGCGACCAGAAAAAACTTTAGCATTTGCCGAACCAAAATTTTTCCCCATTTTTGTTGGCTTGTGTAATTATTTAATTACTATTTCTTTAATACAGGCAAATACATTTCGGATCTGCGGAGCATTGAGGAACTGCAAGTAACTGATTGCGCAAATTTCAAACAATATTATTTGGCTGATATCTTGCGTTGCCTCGCCTTAAAATCGCTTAACATCAGCGACTGTCCGTTGGCCTACACCTCAGCGCACCTCACGAATGAGATGTGGCTACAATGCGAAACGTTGAGTAAACTTAAAATTGACTGGCAACAAGCGCACACAATTATCGCTTTACAAACTCTTAACACTTTAGTGGATCTGGATATGCGCGGCTGTGAGGCAAACTATACCGAAACGTGGCAGCATCAATCTGCTGATCAGCAAGCGCTGTTCCAACAACACGTCCGCTGGGAGCAGCGCCTCTTTCACGTACTCCTCGAACGCACCAACATTACAAAGCTCACACTCGAAGCTGAGTTGTTGCGTCGAAATCTTGATTCATTGCAGCTCTTACAACACCTGACACACCTGAGTGCGATTGCCATACCGCTGGATGTTATTCCGACTACACCAAATTTCTATCAAACTATTGGCAGGCTAGCTAATCTGGAATATTTACACTTGGCAAATTTCTTTTACTGTTATGATGGCATAATACACATCGTAGGCAAATGCCCCAAACTCAAAGAGGTGCGACTCAGCGATTGCGTGGGATTTTCGGATTTTGCGATCTATGAACTCGTCGAAGTGGTGAAGCGCAAACGTAGAAAAGAGCAGCTGCCACTTTGCTTATTTTTGCATAATTCGAGGGACGAATCCGGTGATACCTGCAGTGAGGTAGGTGTTGCTTTGCAAATAGGGAGTGCTTTTTAGTAACGCTTAATTTACAGGAAAGTTCGGCCAGCGCTAATGATGTGGTGAGCATTTATGGTGATTTTTTTCGCTGTATTTATTACCATTTTTTAATAAGAATGTTTTATTTACAACAACAACAACAGAACAAACGCTTCGAAGACGTCCAGGAATTCATTGAGGTTACTTTCGTGGATGAACCGAAATCGGAATTGTCTACATCGAGCCCACCATTCCTGGATGAAGTAATGTGCTTTAAATGACACTCGGCGAAGAGGGGAAGTAACAGTGAAATAAAAATGTAAAAATGGTTTAAAAAATTTAGATGCGTGAATTTTTAGCAACGGTTGGTTGGTTGGGAGTAAATTAGCAAATTCAACGGGAGTAAATTATTAATTTAACAAAAACTTGCTAATAAAAGATTAAAGAATAAAACTTAGACAAGGCCCAATACAAGAATGGAAGTATAGGTAAGTACGTACATAGATAAAGAAAAGGATAAAGGCAAAGGTAAAAATAAAAACAAAAACAAAAACAAAGTTGCGTAAAGATAAAGGCAAAAATGACGACCAAGGTAAATTTAAACACTTTACTTATATAAGAGCAGAGGCGAAGGGAAATATGTAAATGAACAAAATGATAAACATAAAAGTAAAAACAAAGATAAATATAAAGAAAAAGATGAGAATGAGGATACCGATAGAAGTAAAGATGAAGATAGAGGAAGAAAGATTAAAAAAATATAATTATAGAGAAATGATATAGATAGAGACACAGAGACTCAATCTGGGAACTATTTTGGGATTTTAACCCTAGAACACACACCCGGNTACAGCTCTGTTATTGACACAGGCGTCCATGACTTAGGAGTTGTGTTTGGATGCGCATTGTTGTAAGCATTATAAGTTTCTTTTGCTAACTTATTTGTGTGGCGCATAATTATATCAGCCATTTCAACGTTCATGAAACATTTGAATGTTTGCTCTATTGACAACATTTCAGTGCATCTAGCTGGTCCAGAACGTTCTCTTATAATATTTTGTCTGAGTACCTGACGACTTACATTTGGTTCTTTCATCCACTCAGTACCATCACGTGCAACAAATTTTTCGGCACTAGCAGGTAATTCATTATTTTCTTCTACTTCTTCTTCTTCATCGTCTTCTTCATCATCCTCATAGTCCGCATAATCAGGTAATACTTCTGCGGCACTTTGCGAAACTTCAGCATCGTCATCAGCAATTTCAATGTCATTGATTTGAATTTCTTCTTCATCTTCTGAGTCAAAGTCATAGGGAGCGTCATCGTCACAAATTTCATCAAATAAAGATTGTATATATGATTCTCGCTGTTCCTCAGTTAAAGTGAATATAAAGGAAAACAGAATAACATAAATGTAATTAGAACGAACAGGGGTAGAGGTAGGGATGGGATCTAGATAGAAAAAAAAAACAAAAAATATAACCTTAAGCAAAAGCAGATGTACATATGTATGTACATACATGTGTATGTATATTGGTTATTAGACAAAATAGATATGTAACGTAAGTTTCACTTCTTCAGTGTGAGCCAGGAGCACTTACTTTTTTTTTAACTGCGGCGTGAATTCATCTTTGCTCCAAAGGTTTGCAAAGCATTCAGATTCGGAAAATGTTCAAGAATATAGATGAATTCCCGAGATTTATTCAAATTCTTAAAAATAAATATATAATTTCTTTCACGAAAATTTTTCTCCCACCTTTCTCTTCAATCGTTATTTAAAGAGTGGAGTCGACTCGCTTTGTCGCCAGACATCAATGTTCACAGAGCATGTATTATTTATAGTTTTTTGAACTGCTTCGAGATTTTAATATGCGTTACGGGAATTCGTGGGGTTTTGTTCAGTTTTGTCTTTAATTAAATACATTTTTCGAGATTTTTTTAGAATCGTTAGGACCCTGTTTTTTTTCTTGCCATTATTTCTCTTCGTTGATATCTTTTGGCTTACTTCAACATTTTATCAGTGCTCTTCACCATTATTGCAAGAATTCTTTGAGAATTTTTTAGTAGGTTTTGGAAATTTTTCGCGAATTTCTTCATTCTAGGGAGTTTTGAGGAATTCAAGAAACCTCTCGGTACTTGTTGGTTTTCTCGGTTCTTTTTTTTTATTAAGGGCCACCTTTATTAAATTTTGAGATTTTTGATGTGTCAATTTCCACTTCTTGCCATCAAGCCAATTGTATCCTAAGCTGCGCATGCTAGCACATCTCAGCCGTTGCTAGGTGCCATTTGACGTCTACCATCCGTTTTCAGAAACATGATCTAAGCCTAACAACGATCTGAGATTTCGACATAAAAAAGAGGGACGTATAAGTTCAATAACTATGCGGCACTCTCGCGTAGACTTTAAGTTAGAGGATCGATGGTAACCTAAATGAGCCAAACCTAATCTCCACTTCCACTTACATAAATCTCGAAAAACTGCATACATTTAATAATTTTATTTGTTAACCACCTTGCGTTGAGTAAACTACAAAGGCCTGTTATGATTCACACTGAATTTGCCTGTTCGAGTTTTATGTATGTGCCCCCGACAGGCCATCATCAGTTCGTTATAACACTTTTCTTTGCCTACTTATGTACATGTTTATACGTATCCAATTAGGAGCTCGCTAGCGACAGCCTTTCGATAGTTTAGGAATATCACTCGGATATACATATCTAGCTCAAGTGTGACACACCAACTTTCGCCAACAAGCTACACATACGCTCTAAATCAAATACTCTGCCTATACTTCGCACGTGAGTATGCACATAAGTGACCAACAACAATGATTAATAATAATTGCCAAGAAAAAGCATAACAAAGTTATGTCATCAACGCTTCAAACATATAAATTATATCAGGTCTTTCATCACTTCAGCGTTAAATGTGTAAGTAAGTACAAAAGGCGGACTAGGCGTATGCGTGTCCGCTGATGGCAGTTAATCGTATGAAAGGCGTGTTAGGTGTGCTCTCAACAGCAGCATTACCACCTACATTGGAAAAGTTTGAAAGAATGAATTTGCGAATATACAATACAGTGCGTCACTGGCCGGCCAAACAACACCAACAAAATATTAGGCATAATAAATCAATTGATATTTCAACACACACATGCTCAGGTAAATATGTATGAGCAACAGAGATAAATAGCCCTGTTATTCGGAGGAATAAAAGCGGAAGGAAAAAGTTAAACCGTAGGAAAATCTATGAATATTTTGAAAGAATCAAAGACAACTACTCCTAAGGGGTGCAGTGTTGTTAGCTGCTTAGAAATGTGTATTTGTCCTTGTTCTTCTTGCCGTTATTTTTCAGCCATTATTATACCAAAGAATTGACAATTTTCTGCTGAAGATAGTCATATAGAAAATACAAAGCAATCAGTCAGGCGCTAAGCAAACAAAGAAACAAAGAAAGAAGCCAAGTGACTAACACTTGCATACATAAATTGCATGGCATAACTGTGAAGAGCAGTGTTAAAGAAAGTTAACACACACTCTTCTTATATACACAGCCTTGCTAACAATTTACGTTAAGCTCTTCGTATTGTTGGTTATCGTGCTCAATAGACATAAGTGTCTTTGCATGGATGGCAATAAATAATAAGCGGTATATGTATGTAACAGGAATAATGACGTATTCGTAGATAGGAAAGGGATACCAATGCGCAAAATTGATTTGTGCATTACGTTCTATAGCTATTCAGAGTTGTTTGAGCACCGGAAGGGAAGCAATTTGGCAACTCAACGTAAAGCTATTAACATAGTAGATATCCTGTTAGAGAGATAGCACAGCAGTGAGAAATGGAGAAAAAGAAATATATGTACATTAAGCTGCATCACCAAAAAAAAGTTGCGGTTTTTCCACCGGGATTCCAAAATTTATTATATTTTAAACCTCCACCAAACTATTTCCGAAAAATATTAAGATTTAAGTGAGCTGGACCGATTTGAAAATATCGCCAAAAATGTAGTTTTCTATGAATAAAAATACTTTCTTAAAGAACTTTTTAAAAAAAGTCCCCTCAGATGACAAAACACATTAGGCTTAAAAAATCTGCATAAAAATATTTAAAAATCTTTTCAACGGCATCGTAAAAATGAGATTTTTGATGCTGTTTTTTTTACTTTTTTCAACGATTGATTTACGAAAAACTTTAATAACTTGGCCAAAACTATTCTACTTTAAACTTATGTGATCTCAATAGAAAGGTATTTCCCACTACTTTTATTTCTGTAAAAAAAAAAAATTATTCGTGTCCCAATTTTTATTTTTTTTTTCGAATACCAAAACATCCTTATTCAACTTTGAATGATGTTCGTTCCTCCTACCTTTCTCTTTCAACGTTAGAAAGAGTTTATTGGCAAAGAAATAAAAAGGGTGAGAAAATACCTTTGCAATGATACCTCACAAGCCTAATTCGAGCATCACAAATTTGATTATTACGATTCCGTTAAATGTTTTTTTTTATTTTTATTTTTTTTTTGTGGAAATTTTTTAAGCTTAAACCGTTTTGTCTTTTGAAGGGTTTAAAAAAAAAATTTTAAGAAACTATTTTTATTTATAAAAAACTCCATTTTTGGAGGTATTTTCAAATCGGTCTAGCTCACGTAAATCTTAATATTTTTCCGAAATATTTTGGTGGCCTCTTAAAATATAACAGATTTTATAATTCCAATGGAAAAACAGTACCGATTTTTTTTTTTATGGGAAGTGATGCAGTCTAATATACATACATATTTATGTGTGCACAAGCTAATTTCGCATTCACGTTAAATATTTGAATCTTCTACGTTGCACGTTTTTACTCAGCGAAATTTTAACATTTCACAGCCCATTAAAATTTTCGTGGATGAAATTAATTACGGGTGGTATTTAGTTAAATGCATATAAAAATAAATATAACATCAACCGCAAAGGTATATGTATGTGAAAATTTCGCAAGCTAACACCCAACTGACGTAGATGAAGGCGGGAAAAGGCCATCATTCATTTCGTTAAGTTGAGCAGCTGTGTGCTTAAAATCTACAAGTTTATTTGCATAAAGGAAGGCATGCACTAAACATAAGTAAATGGAAGTATGTACATTTATTTAGACATGTACGGCATATATACATACAGTGACTCAAACAAATGGCCACGTGTTGATTTTGTTGTCAATATTCATAATGTTTTTCGAGCTAAATTTTTTTTTGTTATATTTCTATAAAAATACCATCCAAGCGTTAACCATAAATCATCAAAATGCCAGTTCCAAACTCTATACAAAATTTAGAAAAATAATTCTACTAATTTT